TAAAGAGAAGATTAGGAGGAACAGAACAAAGTCAGGAAGGGCAAATGTTGAGTGCTGTCGAGTTGATTTCAACTCATAGCAACCCCAAGTGACAAAGTAGAACTGCCCCATTGGGCACATGTTGTTGTTGTTGTTAAGTGCCGTTGAGTCGGTTCCGACCCATAGCGACCCTGTACAGGGTTTTATTCTGCTACACCGTCACTGGGTGCATTCAGACTTCCAACCTTTGGGTTAACAGCCAAGCACTTAGAGACGAGGGCTCCTTCAAAGGTCAAATAGGTTTTTTAATAATGAAAGGATGGTAAAAAGGACATTTATGCTAATCATCTCTTGCATTTGTGTTGTGGTTCACATCCTATTATCTGTTTTGACCTAGCCAATGGCAGGACATGTGACAGAGAAGGAAGTGAAAAGTTTAGCTTCAGAGGCCAATAAGAATTAGATACAAATCCTCACTCTGCCACAAAGCTGAGTGAACGGGGCAAGTGCCTTAATTTTTTGGAATCTGCTTTCTCATCTACACAATGGTACCAGCAATACATAGCATGGAGATTTATTTGGGTTTAAGCAGATAGAATATATATAATGCACTGAGTTCTTGGTCATTGTTGTTGTTAAATGCAGTCCAGCGCATTAAGTCACCACATTAAGGGTGAGTTAATTCAATGTTTGACCAAATATGGCAGGCTAAAATTTTTTTTTTCTTTTAAAGTTTTTATTGTGAATTGAGTGACAGTTTACATGGGAAAACATCAGTTTTGCACTCATCCTATTGTATTTTATTTCATTTCAATGATTACAATCCTCTCCATGCATCATCATTTAACAGTATTTGCTTCTTTTCCCTCTGTTGTTGTGTTGTGTTTTGTTTTTTATGTACACAAAAACACTCAGGAATATATAATCTTTTAAACAACTAAAGGGCACATTCTGCAAGCCTGCCTCCTGGCCGCCAGCACACAGCCTTACTCTTTCCATGAGTCTAGAGTCCTCAGTTGCTCTATCTTTCCATGTCCTCATCCCTGCCTCCATCTCTGGTGTCAGCTAACAGGCTAATTTTTAAGTTGATAATTTTGTATGGTCTATGAGTAATGTTAGAATTTTTGGCAGAAAAAACATTCCCCACCTCTGGGATAGAAGGTAGACACATGTTTTAACACGGTTGTCAGGGTGGGCAATATACAATAAGAGGGAGGTTAGCAGAGGAAAGATGAAGGTAACAAGAGACAGAGGGAGGAATGGAAGAGTTGCAGTGAATAGAGGTAAATCCTGTTAACTGATGGTACATGGAAGGGATTGCAATCATTGTAATGAAGCAAAGTGTATGATTTGCTAAATGTAAAACGGATGATCTGCCCTGTAAACCTTCACTCAATTCACAGTGAAAAGTTAAAAAAAGAAACGAAAGCCCAGTATTCTTTAATAAGTCATAGAGACTCCCTCTGTTCCCAGCAAATGGTTGGTTCAATAAGTGGAGTAGTTGATCTGCTTTTGGCTTATGTCAAGTGCAAAACTTATCCTTAACAGTATGGCTAATGATGTTTTATAAATGAATAGTAACCCCTCCAACCTAGATTGAAAAATGACTCTATCGTTTTTACAACTTTATTATTTATTGCTTCTGAATCGTCATCTACACTGTTGTCATATCTATCTTCAGAAAAAAATAAGGCCTCCTCTTGAGGCCTCGGGTCCTGGTGTGGTGCTGTAGAATAGACACTGGACTGCTAACCAAAATGTCAGCAGTTCAAATCCACCAGCCGCTCTTTGGAAATGCTATTCAGGGTCTCTATGAGTCAGAACTGACTTGGCAGTATTTAACAATGACAACAACAATGTCGAGGCCTGTAGCACCAACTCAAGGAGTTAATCAGATGGATACAAAACTTCATTTCACTTGGCCTGGATTGCTGTTTTTTGTTTTTAAAACAGAACAATCCAAGTCCGAATAGTGGCTGTCCCCCCAAACCTGAAAACAGTTCCAGGGACTCACCTAGCTGGGCAAATCTCTATCAAGTCATCGAATTGGCATTTCCAATGAGAGTGAGAGAGAGCATTTGTTCCCTGAGATGGTTTTCCATAAAGGAATCTGTGGCCAAATAAGTTTGGGACAGTGTTGTATAGCTCCTTCCTGGAGATCACAATGCATACTAGACACATGGCAATAATCAACTAGTTCTTAAAGCTTTTTGACCTCAGGAGCATTGTTGTTGTTGTTGTTGTTAAGTGCCGTCGAGTCGGTTCCGACCCATAGCGACCCTGTACATGGTTTCCGAGCATTGTTAGTTGAGTCCTTATTAACATGGTGGGAATGAGCTTGGGGAAATTCTACTTTGAATGGTGCCAGAGACCCTGCAAACCACGCCCCACAGACACAACCAGAGCTCATCGTCAGACTCACTGTAATCCCATATTTGCTTATGAATCAGTGACCTCTGTTTTGGTGGTGGTGACGTCTTTGTGTAGTGGAGTCGATTCGACCTCTAGGTTTCCGAGGCTGTCATTTTTTACAGGAGCAGAAAGCCTCATCTTTTCCCTCCACACTCAATTTTACACACTTCTATTTTATTATGTCAAGGAGCTCTGGTAGTGTAGTGGTTATGAGTCAGCCTGCTAACCTCAAGGTAAGCAGTTCAAAAGTACCAGCCATTCAGTTGGCGAAAGATGAGGCTTTCTGCTCCCCTAAAGATTTACAGCCTCGGAAACCCTATACAGGGACGCTATGAGTCGGAATTGACTCCACAGCACACCACCACCTTTTTATTCTGTTGCTCCTTGGAAGCCCTATACAGGGTTGCTATGAGTCAGAACCGACTTGATGACACTTCACAGTAATAGGCAGCTTCTTGGTCTATGCCATGCCTGCTCTGAACCACAGGCCAACATTTAGGTGATTCTTGCCCAGCCTCAGAGCCTCATGAAATCTGAATGATGGCATCAGCGATGATTGAGAGCTGGCCTGCGTGCTTGCTCCTGGGCGTGGGGAAATGATAAACAGACAGTGAAGAAGCCTTGCCCTGTGCAAAGGTGCTGCTGTACCCCATCTGCAAACCTCCCACTCTATCTGGCCTGAACACATCCATTCAATGACTTGGCTATTCTTTATTGAGAACTTTTATTTTGTATCAAACATGGTAGACACCATCCCTGATCTCTGGAGCCTACAGTCTAATGGAAGATCGGGATAAGGGGGCTTCAAAAAGTCTGTAAAAAAATTCCATTATCCTTTCATTTTATTTTCTCATGAACTTTTTTTTGAAGCCTCGCCCCCCCCCCCCCCCCTTATAAGTTCACAGCCACTTTTTTCATTTATCCACTAAAACTTGGGATAGGTGCTAAGAAAATAGTATGAGGCACCTAAATGAGACTTGGAGTCACTGATTGGTGTGAACAGTTCATGTGCTCAGTTTCTAATGGAAAGGTTGGCAGTTCAAGCCTACCATCTCTTGCATTTACTATTTTCCCTGTACTGAGGTTAGCTAGCATGGGTACCATCTAGGCCATAGACAACTTCCCCTGAATTGAAGAGATCAAGGCATCCCATTTCAGTCACTGGTTGTTTTCTCTGGACTGAAGTGACCATAAAACCCCATTGCAGCCAACAACTGCTTTCTCCTGGAGAAAAGCAACCGTGATTGTGCATCCATCTCAGTCATCAATGGATTCCACTAAACGGGAGACTCAGGCATGTCATCTCGGTTTTTGACTGTTTTTCCTGGACTGAGGCAATCACTTCCTCTCATTTCAGTCATTGATTATTTTCCCTAGACTGAGGCAATCACTGTCACAATGTCAGTCATCAGTTGTTTCCCCGGAACTGAAGTGATCATGGTTCCCCCATCTCAGTCATTGACTGTTCTCCTCGGACGGAGGTGGTCACAGCTGCCATCTCCATTATCAACTTCTTTCCCTGGACTGGGAAAATCATGACACTCATCGGTGGCATTATGAGGGTTGGTGTCACTCCGTGTGCTAACTTATGACGTCACTCCACCCACGGAGACCTCCTCCCTTCCCAGACCACACAGAATCCTTAGTCATGTTTATTATCAAGTTTAATCACAGAATAATATGTGATAAATAGAGGTGGAAATTGCTTACATGTAGTATTTGTTAGACTGTGTGAATAGTAACAATGAAATTGTTTCGTAAATTTTTTTTTACATTGATTTACAACATTATTAGTTACATTATTTTGATTTTTCTCCTTTTCCTTGGTCTGAGGGATCAGAACTCCCCTCTCAGTTATTGATTGTAATTTTCCAGGACTGAGACCATCATGGACCACCATCTCCAGCATCCAGTGTTGTCCCTGGGAACTGAGGCACAATTTCCTAATTTCAATTATCGACAGTTTTCCTTGGCTTGTGGGTGGGACCTGTGATTTACCTAAAAAAATTAGCTGTGACCCGAAGAATGGGCTGTCACAGCCATTATTGTATGATCAAATCTTGTGACTTCCATCTTGATAGCAGATGCTTGCTTGTTGGCTTCCAGGAAACAAACTTTCATATGGGAGAGGCCCACATGACAAGAAACTGAGAGCAGCCTTTCTTTAGCCAATAGCCCAAGAAAAACTGAATCCTAACAATAGCACAGGAGTGTGATCTTGGAGGTGGATCCTCCTCCAGGAGATGCCTGCAGACCCGGGGACATCGCTGTGAGAGGCCAAAGCAGAGCACACAACTAAGCTGTGCCTGGACTCCTGACCCACAGAAACGGTGAGCTGACAAATACGTGTGGTTTTTAAGCCATCAAGTTTGAAGGTATATTTTCTTAAATAGCAATAGATGATGAGACAGTTGCTTTGCATTTTTATTATGTGGTTCAACTATAGCTTCACATCAGTTGTTGTTGTTGTTGAGTGCTGGAGAGTTTGTTCCAACTCATAGCGACTCTGTCTAGGGTTTCTGAGAAGCGGCTGGTGGTTTTGAACCACTGACCTTGTGGACAAGAGTCCAGTACTTATATCCTGCAGCGCCACACTAAGGTTCCTCACTTCAGTTAGTACTGTTTAATGGAATCAGTGTACAAATTGTTGTACCGTGAATCATTTGCAGTTAAAACCACGTTTCTGAGACTTTGCCAGAAAAGGCCCTCCGCCTTGGGGTTGTTCGGCCACTGGAGGATGGAGCTCTTGCAGATTCGCTGGCGCAGTCGCAGATACTGAGACTGCTGTAACACTGGCTCCAAGAGAATGAAAACGATTACATCCAGGTTCTCCTCCATCAGCCTCTGCAGTGCCAAGTAGAAAGCCGTCTTAAAGTTCCAGTTCTTGGCATATGTTTTGGTTAAAACGAAAATGGTTTTTTTGCTTTGGTTGATGCTCTGCATGAGGTTATCAATGATGGCTAATCCCGGGTCCCAATCCCTCTCCTCCAAACAAAGGAGAACATTTTTGTCTTCACCCTCCTCTAGGTGGAAGCGCAGCTCATTTATCACCCAGTCGGTGACAGAGGCGTCTTTGGTGTCATAAGAAATGTAAGCATCGTAGAAAGTTTGTGATGTGGAAAGAGACCTGTACCCTTTTATCTTGGCTAAACACACATGGTAGATAAACCAGACATCCCAGTAAAACAAATGGTGAGCCAGTGCAACCAACATAACCATGGAGGTGATAAAGAATGTGAAGAAAAATAATATAGCCGCAATGGTATCGGAGACACAAGTGGTTAACTCTAGAGTTACAATACACTTCCCTCTTTGATCCCCAGGACTGGCACAGATGACATCTGTCAGTCTAGGGATTGAAACGTTCAGATTCTCATCCATCCATCTTCGAAAATCTCCAATGTCACATGTGCAGTCAAAAGGGTTACCGCCTAATTTCAAGATAGCTAGCTTGGTGGGTGTTTTAGTTTGAAGCGTGGATCTGTTGATACCCTTTAGCAGGTTGTCACGTAAATCAAGGTGGACCAGATTGCTGGCTCCGGCCAAGAACCCAGAGGACAAATGGGCAATCTTGTTCTGACTCAGTAGCAATTTCTGAAGAGAAGACGCAAATGTAGACAGGCTATTGGTTAAGATGGATAGCTTGTTTCTACTTAAGTCGAGCAAGCGGAGATGAGGAAATCGCTGGAGTAATGTCCAGTTAAAGACCTTTAGGATATTATTATTCAGATATAGTTCTGTAAGGCTCTGGGGCAAGTTAAGAAATGCTTTATTCGGGATGTGCCGGAGGTTGTTGTAGGATAAATCAAGCCGGGTCAGATTCCGGAGACTTGTGAAAATGTGCCAGTACCGGCTGTCTTCACCGTACCACAAAAGATCAAGGCGGTTTCCACTGAAGACCAACTCTTCCAGGGACGTGCTGATCAGTTCAAACTCAGTTAAAGTGTAGATGTTGTTGTGGCTCAAGTTCAAAACTTTCAGGTGGGTTAAGTTTTTAATAAATCCTAGACGATGGGTTACCCCGGCTATTCTGAAATAGTGTGAATTGTAGCTAAGATCTAGGACTTCCAAGTCAACCAATTCAGTGAGAGCTCTATCATCATCAAAGTCTAGTCTATTGTTTGTCAGATCCAAATATTTGACGTGACGCACCGCCAAAAACTCAGTGCCATGCAACACTTGGGCATTGCCATTTGAAGACAGATTTAAGCAGGCAATGTCACCAAAAGATTCAAATTGCTTTTGCCCAATAAAGAAAATATTGTTCAAGCTTAAATCTAAGACTTTGCCATAATTGCTACACTGTGGCTTTACTAAAGGATGAGTGTTATGATAAAAATTCGAATGTGGGTCAAACTGGGTAGATGCCGAGCGTGGTTTCCGGATATGATTTTGGGAAGATGAACTGTTTGCAGAAGTTTGTCTGATGTCATTTACCAAGGGTGATATTCTATTTTCTGACAAATAAATAACACTCAGGTTGGAAAAATTTTGGAAAATGGTAAAATCAATTTGCTTAATGAAATTAATCCCCAAGTTGATAACCCTCAAGTTGGGAAGTACCATCAGGGGACAGAAGTCTTCTCTTCTAAGTTCCTGGAATACATAACCTCGTAAATGCAATACCTCGAGAGACACAAGCTTAGAGAAGTTTTGGGAAATAATAATATGTTGTGGATATGCTGTCCTTACATAGTTAAATGATAAGTCAAGGATTTTTAAATATGGTAAGTATGCTAAAAATGCCCCAGACGCGATTTCATTTACTAAATAGTTGAATTCAAGATACAGCACCTTTAGTTGACTCATATTGTAAAACCAGCTTGCAGGAATTGTCTTGAGGGAAGTACTGGAGAGGTTTAGGTACAGAAGTTGGGTCAGGGTTTGAAAAGCAAGGGGATGTATCTGAAGTGAAGTATTTCCTTGACAAGGTTGGCAGGGAAACGGTGCGTTGAAGCACCTTGGACAGTTCCCGCTTAAATCTAATAGCGTTAAATTTTTCAGTCCCTTGAAGTCTTCTTGACTGATATTTTGGATCTTGGTGTTGCTAAGATAAAGTTCTGTTAGGGAGCTAGGTAGTTTGGGTGGCACACGGAGAAGAGTGTTGAAAGAGAGTGATAGTACCTTCAACTGTGTAAGTTTTTCAAACGTTCCATCTTCAATGTCAAAAGTATTTTTGCAATCATGGCCAAAATAGCAGTTCCAGCCTAAATAGAGACTTTCCAAGTGCATTAGTCCTGAAGTGTTCTTTTTAGTTACCACAGTAATATTGGTTTGGATGAGACTGAGATATCTCAAAGACTCTGGCAAACCCGAAGGTATTTTGTACAACCGGTTGTCTTCAAGCAGTAACTCCCTTAGGTTTTTTAGGTTTTGGAATGCCCCATCTGTGATTTTCATGCCATCTTTATTCCGATCAGGATTTTCATTCTGATACTGTAGCTTTGAATTGTGGTTGAGATTGATTTTTGTAAGATTTTGCAGTCCTTGAAAAGATTCATTCGTTATGTGTCTGATGAAATTCTCAGACAGGTCTAGTTCAGTCACATATTTGCCCACTGTTTGGGGCACTTCTTCCAGTTGACGATAGTTACACATTGCAATAATGGAGCCGTTCTGCTTTCTCTCATCGCAAGGAAAGCTTCGAGAATAATTGGCTTCAGCGAAGAACTCACAGGAACCAGAAATAAGAAGGGAAAGGCAGATGATGAGAAGGGCAGACTGGAGGTTCATGTTTTTCTAAGGAAAATAAGAAATGGCAGTGTAATTTTAGAATAGCAGTATTGACCAGTGCTCCACCATACTATGTGTGAGTTTTGAATTGCAAATTCTCTTTACCATGAAACAAATAAAGAAAATAAACTTAATTTGTTCTGAATTTTAAAAATACTTAGGTTCAGAATGATATTAATTTTTTTTTTATGCGTTCAGCTTCTTGGTGCTAAAAGAAATGGAAAATGATGCCATTTGAGATTATGAGGAAGAAAAGACCTGGAGTGCCCCACCACTGGAATAGGTCTGGTGCCGGTTCACCGCTATGGCTCATACTGAGTCTGTAGCAGCAAGCTGTGTCTTTACAGCATCAATCTCTTGGCATAACTCTCAATGAAATTTTGGGCAATATCCAAGAAGAGTTCAGATCCAACTTCTGTTATGGTATTGTCCAAGAGCTCCAAGCCAGAGTCTTGCCTGCCCTAGCTACACAATCATATCTCTTACTGGTATTCCCCACAACTCTTTTTCTCTACTTCCATTTTGATACATGCAAAAGGAGCTCTGGTAGCGTAGTGGTTACGAATTGGGCTGCGAACCATAAGGTCAGCAGTTCGAAACTACCAGCGGTTCCGCGGGAGAAAGATGAGGCATTCTGCTCCCCTAAAGATTTACAGCCTCGGAAACCCTGTACAGGGTCGCTATGAGTCGGAACCGACTCCACGGCACACAGCCACCACCACCATCATGCTCACTTATCTCCTTACATGACTGAAAAGTGAACTCCTTATGTTGATAATAATTATAAAGTATTAGATATTGTGCTTCATAAGCATTTCCCCAACCCGTGTAATGCTCACAGCAATATAGTAAGGTAGGTTCTATTTTTACACACATTTTTCAGGTAAAAAACAAACTCGGAGACAGAGTAACTTTCAGAAAGATTATAGGCTGCGGAATTGAGACTTGAACCAGTGTAATTCCAAAATCATGGTTTTAACTACTAACCATCAACTACACAATCTCATTTTACATAAACTACACAATCTCAGAGCCAGTGTGGTTCCTAAAATGTAGACAGCACTCAAAACATTCACATTCAGGAAGCTGTGCTTACCAGCTGCTCCTTGGAAACCCTATACAGGGTCACGATGGGTAAGAATCGACTCAATGGCACTTAACAACAACAACGACTCAAAACATGTTTGTGGAATGACAACTACTCAGATGTCTCTCGTCATGTAAACATTCTTATTAATAGCGATTTGTTTGCTAATTCTGTAGGGAGGACATGATGTTTTATATTTTTATGCATCCTCTATAACACTTTAGTAGACTCTCATTTTCTATCTCTGTTTTTCAATAAATAGAGGTCTGAGTGTATTACTTTCGGCAACTATACAATGCAACAGATTAAATTATTAGTTTGATCCAAGGTTAGAGTCAAGAGAACTCTCAAAATCTTGTTTCACTGGGTATGGAGACCAACCTTTATGAAATTACATTTTTCATGGAAGCCTGAGTTTCACCCTTGTGAGGTCAAGAAGGTATGTAATTGCCTTCTTGTTAAATTGTCCTCAAATTGTTGGTTGGTGAACTAACTGTCATTGTCATATCCTACCATCATAAGTTACCATCAGTCAACTCGGACTCCTGGAGGCCCCATGAGTAGAACTTTGCTTCATAGGATTTTTAATGACTAATTTTTCAGATGTGCATTGCTAGGACTTTCTTCTGAGGTTCTGCTGTATGGACTCAAATTCCCAACTTTTTGGTTAGTAGCCAAGCAAGTTTATAGTTTGTACCACCCAGGGACTTCTGTCATACCCTTACTGTGTTAGAAATGGTTTTTATACAGACGTTGTCTATTTTGAAGATCAAATAATCATTGCCTATTTTAACCAGCAAAGGAAAAGTCAGATCCCCTTGAGATGAAAATAATTGAGGAGCTAAACTTCCAGGCATTTTCCATTTATTTTTGTTATTAAGTTTCAAATACAGCACTATCTAAATGTGACTGCTTAATGTTTAACTTTTTATGAAAGAACGTCTTGCTTCACTTGTTGTGGTAGGCCGGGTTTTAAGATGGCCCCCATGACCTTCTTTGGACATTTGGTTGTAATATTTGACTTTGTCTTCTCGAGCTGACCTTTGAAAATGTTGTTCACTCCTCATTTCTTCCATTTGCTTTAGCATCTCTAGGCTGGAGAGCAAGTTTCAGTGTCTCTCCTGACATCCATTTTGACCTTTTCCTTCTTTGTTGTCTTAATGACTTTTTGCTTTCTTCCTGCATGATGTTCTTGATGTCATTCCACAACTCTTCTGGTCTTCAATCTTTAGTGTCTAATGTATCAAATCTGTTTTTCAGATGATCTCTAAATTCAGGTAGGATATATTCAAGGTCATATTTTGGCTCTCGTGGACTTGTTTTCATTTTCTTCAGCTTCATACCGAACTTGCGTATGAGCAATTGATGGTCTGTTCCACAATCTGCCCCTGGCCTTGTTTTGGATTATGATATGGAGCTTTTCCACCTTCTCTTCCCGCAGATGTAGTCAATTTGATTTCTGTGATTTCATCTGGTGAGAACCCTGTGTATAGTCATCTCTTATGCTGTTTAAAAAAGGCATCTGGGGGGAAAAAAAGGCATCTGAAATGAAAAAATCATTGGTTTTGCAGAATTCTATCATGTGATCTCCAGCATAATTTCTATCACCAAGGCTATATTTTCCAAGCACTGATCCTTCCTCTTTGTTTCCAACCTTTGCACTCCAACCACCAGTGATCATCAATATATCTTGACTGCATGTTTGATCAATTTCAGATTGAAGAAGTTGATAGAATTCTCCTATTTCATCCTCACTGGCTTTAACGATTGGTACGTACATTTGAATAATAGTGGTATTAACTGATCTTCCTAGTTGTTGTTGTTGTTAAGTGCCATCGAGTCAGTTCCGACCCATAGCGACCCTAAACAGGGTTTCCGAGGCTGTAAATCTTTACGGGAGCAGGATGCCTCATCTTTCTCCCGCGGAGCAGCTGGTAGTTTCGAACTGTTGACCTTCCTTGTAGGTACATGGATATCATCCTATTACAGACAGCGTTATACCTTATGACAGATTTCAGTATGTTCTTTTTGACAATGAATGTGATACCACTCTTCTTCAATTTGTCATTTCCAGTATAGTAAACCATGTGATTGTCAGATTCAAAATGGCCAATACCAGTCCATTTCAGCTCACTGATGCCTAAGATACTGGTGTTTATACGTTCCATTTCATTTCTGACAATTTCCAATTTTGCTAGATTCATGCTTCGTACATTCCATGTTCTGATTACTAATGGATGTTTTACAGCTCTCTCTTCATTTTGAGTTATGCCCCATTACCAGATGAAGGTCATGAGAGCTTTACTCCACTCGTGTCACCATGGTCAACTCTACTTTGAGGAGGCAGCCCTTTCCCAGTTGCATTTTGAGTGCCTTCCAATCTGGGGGCCTCATTTTCTGGCACTGTATCTGACAGTGTTTCTCTGCTATTCTTAAGGATTTCAGTGACGAAATATTCGGAAGTAGTTCTCTCCTTCTTCCTAGTCTGTCTTCGTCTGGAAGCTCATCTGAAATCTGTCCACCATGGGTGACCCTGCTGGTATTTAAAATACCTGTGGCATAGCTTCCAGAATCACAACAACTCACAAGCCACCACAGTATGACAAACTGACAGACGAGACCAAAAGGGAAGAACACGCTCAGCATTTCTCAAGCTGAGGGAACTGAAGAAAAAATTCAAGCCTTGACTTTCATTATTGAAGGATTCTCTGGGCAAATTATTGAATGAGGCAGAAAGCATCTAAAGAAGATGGAAGGAATACACAGAGTCACCGTACCAAAAGGAAATGGCTGATGTTCAACCATTTCAAGAGGTAGCATATGATCAAGAGCCAATGATACTGAAGGAGGAAGTCCAAGGTGCATTGAAAGAATTGGCAAAGAACAAGACACCAGGAATTGATGGAATAAAAATAGAAATCTTTCTAGAAAGTGAGACAGCACTGGAGGCACTCACTCATCTCTGCCAAAAAATTTGGAAGACAGCTATATGGCTGACTGATTGGAAGAGATCCATATATGTGCCCATACCAAAGACCGGTGACCCAACAGAATGCGGAAATCATCGGACAATCTCTTTGATATCCCATGTGAGTAAAGTTTTACTAAAGGTAACACAGAAAAGACTGCAAGCATACATTGACAGAGAACTTTCAGAGGTTCAAGCTGGATTCAGAAGAGGCTGTGGAATGAGGGACATCATTGCTGACGTCCGATGGATCTTGGCTGAAAGCAGAGAATATCAGAAAGATGTTTACCTGTGCTTTATTGACTACGCAAAGGCTTTCGATTGTGTGGATCATGACAAGCTATGGACAACATTGCGAAGTATGGGTACTCCTGAATACTTAACTGTGTTCATGAGGAATCTGTACATGGACCAAGAGGCAGTTGTTCGAACAGAACATGGGAACACTGAATGGTTTAAAATTAAGAAAGGTGTGCGACAGGGTTGTATTCTTTCACCATACTTATTCAACTTGCATGCTGAGCAAATAATCTGAGAAGCTGGGTTATATGAAGAAAAATGTGGCATCAGGATTGGAGGATGACTCATTAACAACCTGCGATATGCAGATGATACAACCTTGATTGCTGAAAGTGAAGAGGACTTAAAATAGTTACTAATGACGATCAAAGACCACAACCTTCGGTGTGTGTTGCACCTCAATGTAAAGAAAACAAAAATCCTCGCCACTGGACCAATAAATAACATCCATATAAATAAAGAATAGATTGAAGTTGTCAAAGACTTAATTTTGTTTGGATCGATCATCAACAGACATGAACGCAGCAGTCAGCAAATCTGCTGCACAAGACTTCTTTAAAGTGTTCAAGAGCAAAGCTGTCAGTTTGAGGACTAAAGTGTGCCTGATCCGAGCCATGGTATTTTCAATAACCTCATATGCATGAGAAAGTTGGATAGTGAATAACCAAGACCATAGTCTAATTTTTTGAACCAAGGTTGAGTAAGTTTCCTTATCTTTAAGAGCTACTTTGTGTTTCCTTTTTCTGTGAACTGTCTGCTCATATTTTTTTCTTCATTTTTCCATCGAATTATTTGTCTCCTAAGTTGCTATTTCGCATAGCACCGTATGCACCAGTTTTTATGATACTTGTGAGGTAGGATGTTTATTTGTGTGGGGCTGAAGTCTTTGCTTTTTTGTTTTCTAGGGTATTATTGTTGTTGTTGAGGAGCTCTGGTAGCGTAGTGGTTACGAATCGGGCTGTGAACCTTAAGGTCAGCGGTTCGAAACTACCAGCCGCTCTGCGGGAGAAAGATGAGGCTTTCTACTCCCGTAAGGATTTACACCCTCGGAAACCCTATACAGGGTCGCTATGGGTCAGAATCGACTCGACGGCACTTAACAACAACAACAATTGTTGTTGTTGAGTCGGTTCTGACTCAACGATCCTGTATAGAGTTTCCGAGGAACAGCTAGTGGTTTTGAACCGCTAGCCTTGTTGTTAGCAGTCCAGTGCTTATCCCACAGCAACACAGCAGGACTCCTTTTGGGCATATAGCATCCTGAACCAAAAAAGATGAGGATATAAGAGTTTAAATTAGCACCACCTCTAAGACGGCGGGCAACTTGTAATATCTATTAAAACTGAAAACGTAGATTCAGCAATTTTAGTTCTAGAAGCAGATCTTAAAGATATACCATCACAAAGGGAAATTACTATACACAAGGATGTTCAGTGTAGGACTGTTAACAATAGCAAAAGCTTGGAAGTGAATTCAATGTCTATAGTAGTGGAGTCCCGCTGTAGCACTGTGGAACACAAGTTCAAACTCACCAGCCGCTTCTTGGAAATCCTATACAGGGTCGCCATGAGCCGGAACTAACTCCACGACACTTAAGAACAACAACAATTTAAACAAAGTGTTTCTATTCATCCAATGGAACACTATTCAACCATTAAAACGAACAACGAAGCTCTACGTTAATTTATGCACTAAACAAATATTTATTGAGCATCTACTTTATTTCACCAATGTTTGGGATCTGGTGATACAACAATAATGCTTACAATCCTTGCCTATGTGGGCCTTACATTCAGAGACAGTATATTAGATGTGGAGAATATAAAGTGCCCTCAACTGGATTTGTCAGGTTTTTGTTTTTTTTCATGATTAAGAGGGGATTTCTAAATGAAGAGCTTGAGATCCCTAATTCCATGAGGCAAGAACAGGAGTTGACAAGTTCCAAATGACAAGGATTGGAAGAGTGGGAGTTGGTAAGTGGTAGCTAATGAAAGTAAGAAAACCGTGAATGAACGTTGAGGCTTTCACAGAGGCTGACTGGATTGCTAAATCCATTCATTTCTCAGGACACTTGGTTGACCTCCATACATCTGGGTAGAGTGACTCCTAGCTCACCCACCCAACTGGACAGCCAAAGAGAAGGTAGAAGAGCCCAGGGGCCTATCAGCACAGTCCAACCCCTGCCAAGCTCTTGACCACGCCCACACACGTGACCACGCCCACACTTCCGGTGCACATCAAGAGGATGTCAGAGTCACACGCAACAAGAGGTTACCAAGGAGGTACTCTCATTGTAACATCACCAATGAGCAGCCACACCCAACCTGCTTATCAATCTGTGGGCCTCGCTGGGAGAGTCAAACTGTCCAGAACACCGGCAAGACGGCAGGCCCAGGCAAGTTCCCGCTCCTCACCATTAGGAGCCGTGGGCCCCGGTTCCCCAGGTCTAGGTGCCCTGTATCAAAGACCCCCCGCATCAGGAGCACTTTTCCCCCGCTCCCCCGCCGTGTACCACCGCGCCCCGGCCCCAGTAAGCCTGTGTTCCCCGACACCAGCCACAGGGGCTCTGTGCCCTCGAGCACCAGCCACAAGGTGCCCTCGTGCACCAGCCCCAGGAGCCCTGTACCACCGCCACCCAGCCCCAGGAGCCCTGTGCCCTCTCACACCAGATGCAAGGGCTCTGCTAAACCGTTCCGTGGCCCCAGCATCGCTGTGCTATCGCTCCCCAGCCATAGGAACCTTGTGCCCGAGTTAGTTTACCTCTACAAGCCCATATCCCAGGAGGCCCTCGACCGCAGGAACCTTGTGCCACCGCGCTCCGGCACCACTGCTCTGGCACCTGTACCACCGCTCCGCAGCTCCAGGAATCGTTTACCACCATTCTCTGTGGTGCCATTTTCCGTGCCACTGGAAAACATGTCACTCCGTAAAATCATAATCAAACACTTGGACATGTCGCAGGAGATGCAGAAAGACGCGTTGGACATTGCCTCCCAAGCACTGGATAAGTTTTGCATAGAAAAACACATTGCTGCTTACATCAAGAAGGAATTCGACAAGAAGTACGGCCCCTTTTGGCATTGTGTCGTTGGGAGAAACTTCGGTAGCTGTGTCACTCACAAAGCCAATCATTTCATCTATTTCTACCTTAGCCAAATTGCCATCCTTTTATTCAAAGCTGATTAGAGCATGAACTCCCACATGCTTAATGATCCATCTGAATGCAAGAACACCAGATACTATCATCTTTCTTCTATGTTGAACACCAGATACTACCATCGTCCTCCGTGTTGAGAGACACCACTGAGATCTCACATTCTTGATTGGGTTGTAGGGGTACTTCGTCCTTGGTACACCAGATACTACCATCTTCCTCCATGTTAAGAGACACCATTGAGATCTCACATCCTTGATTGGGTTGTAGCGGTACTTCATCGTTGGAACACCAGATACTACCATCTTCCTCCTGTGTTGAACACCAAATTCTACCATCTTTCTCCATGTTAAGAGACACCATTGAGATCTCACATTCTTGATTGGGTTGTAGCGGTACTTCGTCGTTGGAACACCAGATACTACCATCTTCCTCCTGTGGTGAGACACACCCCTGAGACCACACATTCTTGATTGGGCTGCATTATATGGGGCTGCCTTGTAGTTATAAAATCAATGAGCAACACAATTTATTTGTGTTTATTATCCTCTTATGTTGAGGTACACCGCTGGGCTGTCTTGTAGTTACAAAATCAACGAGCAACACAGTTTATTTGGGTTTATTATCCTCTTATGTGGAGAGACACCACTGAAGTCTCACAGTCTTGCCCAAATTTTACCCTGCCTGTTTTTGTTTCCCCTGAAAATCCATTCCTTAAAAATGAAAGGGGTGGGGCTCGTAAATCTGTTGGAGATATGTGAGCTGGGAGGGAGGAAGGAAAGGAGAAAGGGAAGGAGGGAAGAAGAAAATGAGGGAGGGAAAGATAAAGAGGGATGGAGAGAGGGGGCAAGACGAAAAGAAATGGCAACTCTGCAAATAAAATAGAGAATCCATGAGAGGGGGTGGGGGGACTCTTCTGTTGGTTCAACCTGAGTATTTTGAAGGCTCGTGAAAGTGATAGTCAGGTGCCCTTGAATCAGTTCTGAATCATAGTGCCCTTAAGCACAACAGAACAAAACACTGCTTGTCTTGTGTGGGCGCCATTCTCACAATTGTTATGGAAAGTCCGAGAGCATGTAGCGATAGGTAACAGCAGATCAGGATTTTCAACAAAGTTTGGGAGAACAGAAAGCGAAGCAGAGAAGGTTAAAACCTAAGGTACAGTCAAAGGAAAGTGAATTGACATCACAGAACCCTGGCAAGACTCAGATCAAGCACCTTGGAAGGTGGCATGCCAGGTGGAGCTGGACAGGGAGTGGACAGGAGAAGTTAGAGTCCTCTCGCATCCCCCTCACATCCCCCTCCCTGAGACTTATTCTCTTCAAAGGTTGGATCCAAGGCCAAAACACTCAGTCATCAAGATGACATTTTAAGGAGATATTTTAAACCAAATAAATAAAGGCAACATCCCACCTTGTACTTTGTATGACCCTACCTCCCTCACTTCACCCTAATCTTGGCCCTAGGTCCAATAGAATTTTATTTATAAACCAGGTAACCAGCCCATGGAACCTACTTTGCCGATTTGCTTTTGTTAACTAGCATATTACACTATGATGTATCTTGAATCCTGAGCTTTTTGGTGCCCTCTTAAATTTTCCACTGGAGGAGATTGCTCTTAACCCTCGTCCCAACCCTACACGATAGAAAAGAGCTTCTGTGAACATTGGGGACACATCCTAACCAAAACACTGAGTTAACCCCACTCATCCTGTAATGAGATACATCTGTTGGCAAGTTCTATCCTTTGCAATTGGAGCTTCTCATCAGCTCCTTGGTGCTCATTCTTAAATAGGAAATGACAGCCATCTCCAGTCACTCAAGGAATTCACCCAACAGAAAGACAGAGGAGACAGACCAACAAAGAACCAGAGGAATAGCAATGGGTAGAACCAGGCCCTCGCTCCTGGGCCAGTGGTTGATGGTTTATGTCCTTAATGCAGGTCTCATGCAGGTCTTTAAACCCATCTCTGGACCTGGTCTGAACTGACTTAACGGTACTTGGAGCTTTCTTCACCATTTAGTGGGAGCAACCTGTGCCCCTCCAAAAATAGCCATGCAGCCTCAGACCTGTTGGGGTATGTGGTTTGTTAAGTGCTGTGGAGTTGGTTCCTGTATAGGGTTTCCGAGGAGTGGCTGGTGGGTTTGAACTGTATATGAACCATATTATCTCACTAAATACTTACTTAATATCTTACTAAACTACAAGTTCTGAACTCAGAAACCATTCTGGCACTCAGGTTCCAGAGAAGGGATCTTGGATCTATAGTTTTAGTCTCCTTCATTGGGGACTGTTATAGATCGACTTGCGTTCCCCTAAAATATGTATTGCAAATCCTAACCTGGGGTTATAATCCCATTTGGGAAAGCGTTTTCTTTGTTATGTTGATGTAGTTATATTAGTTGTTGTTGTTAAGTGTCTTAAAGTTGTTCTGACTCAAAGTGACTCAGTATCAGGTTTCCAAGGAGTGACTGGTGAGTTTGAACCGTTGACCTTGTGGTTCAAACTAACCTTGCAGTCCTGCACTTATCCTATGGTGCCACACTTAATATGGGGTGTGTTTTAAGTGAATCTCTTGAGCAGATTGAGCTCAAGCAGAGATGAGGGATGATCGGCTACATGTGATCTTCAAAGAATGAAGAAACAGAAGCTGAAAAGAGACAAGGACCTTCCCCGAGAGCCAACAGAGAAAACCTTCCTCTAGAGCGGGCACCCTGAATGTACGCTTGCAAATGGCGCTTCCAAAACCGTGAGAAATGCATTTTTTTGGTTATAGCCACCCTCTTGTGGTATTTCTATTAGAGCAGCACTGGATAAGTAAGACAGGGACACATGGGCATTTCCTGAATTGGCCTCAGCATATCTCATCACTGGGAAAATAGAAGGCAGTTTTCATAGAGCCAACTGAAGCTTTCCTGGACCCCTTCCTCTGTAAGAAAAAAAAAAAAATGCAAAAGCTTCATTTTATGAAGACATGGATATAAAGGGGACTAGAACCCAGGCTAGAGTATATTTAATCCCTTCCCCCTGAATTTAAAAAGGAGCTCTGGTAGCGTAGTGGTTACGAATCGGGCTGCGAGCTGCAAGGTCTGCAGTTCGAAACTACCAGCGGTTCCGCGGGAGAAAGATGAGGTGGGCTGCTCCCGTAAAGATTTACAGCCTTGGAAACCCTGTGTAGGGTCGCTATGAGTCGGAACCGACTCCACGGCACATAACAACAACAACAACAATCCTGAATTTAAAAGACATTAAGACATTTCCCTAAAACACTGTAGACCCCTTGGCTCTGTCTTGAGAAACGGCCTTGGCTGCCAATGATGCAATAATAGGATTCAGATCAGGTCCCTGGAGAGACTCTTCTGCTATGTATTCTGACAGTGGGTCTTGATGACAGCAAGGACCTGGATTGAATAGAAGTGGTAGAATAGAGGATCTAAATAGGAGAGTAAGAGCTGAGGGTTGGCGGGAATTTAAAAACATTGTTAAGTCGACTCCAACTCATAACGACACCATCCGTGTCAGAGTAGAACTGTGCTCCACGGCACTTTCAGAATTAGCTCAGCAGGCCTTTCTTTGAGGAGCTCTGGGTGGATTTGAATACCCAACTCTTTGGTTAGTAGTAGAGTGCTTAACCATTTGCACCACCCAGGGGCTCTGTAAGAGCCGAGAGCAGCTACATAGAGTTGCTCACTGGTCAGAGTTACCAGTGTTGAGGAAAATTAATAGACATTGTATTGTGATTTTAAGGCTTTCCTTATCCACGAAACCAAATAGCCACCAAACTGCAAACACCTGACAGAAACTGCATCATTGTTGTTGTTTTAAGTGCCATCAAGTCGTTTCTGACTCATAGTGACCCTGTATAGGGTTTCCACAGAGTGACTGGTGAGTTTGAACCTTGTAGTTAAAACTGACCTTATGGGCAGTACTAATCGTACAGTGCCACCCCAGTATGTAAATTTGTTTTATCCTGTTAGAAAATAAACATCATCCAACCATTGCCTCAAAAAATTTTGACCTCAAAAAATCTCCTGGCTGCAGATAAGTGGAAAGTCACATTATTAGCAGGCAGGCTGGAAGTCACCTGATATCTGTGGCTATTAGTGAAGGGGAAACTTAAAAGAAAGAAAGAAACAAACAAGTCAATTCTGAATCACAGTGATCCCGCATAGGGTTTCCAGACTTTATGGAAGCAGAAAGCCTCATCTTTCTCTTGTGCAGTAGCTGATAGTTTTGAACCAGTGACCTTGCACTTAGCAGCTCAATACTTACCCTACAGTGCCATCAGGGCTCCTTAAGAGGGAAAGGCAAGGTTCAATCAATCATGTTAAGATGAACCAGTGATTGAACACCTATTCTTCTTCCTTGTCTCTATATCTCTAGCTTCTCAGAGCCATTCGCTTTTTCTGGAATAAAGTGGCCTCCCTCAGTGCATATGGAATAACTGCACAAATAAACTTTGTGTTCAACTTTCTGTGAGTTGTGATTGTTCTTAACAAAGGTCGAAGCCCTTATGCCTGGACATGCTCGTGAGATCACTGCGCAGAGTAGTGAAGCTTATATTCTAAAACACTTGGTTTGTGGAAGGTTGCTGTCCACAGTGGGAGCCCTAACGCCGTACTGCATCCTGACATCAATTCTGCCTCCATTGAGTTTTTTTCCGAGTATAAGCCAGAAATGTCTACAGCTTTGCCTTCAGGCTGAGTGTGTTTGAACGTAGATTAAGGCTCCCCAGCCTGACCAGGGAGGGGCAGTCTTGTCCTCTGGAGAATTGTGACATCGCCCTTAATAAAAATTAGGGTACCAGAGCTGCATGATTATGAGTCATACTCCATAACCAAGGGGTGAAAATCAACCCTGTAAACTTTTCTAAGCTGCAATAATGTAGCTATCCAAATCAGAGTCTTTTGTTTTTGCTTTTCTAGTCCCATCTGTGACAGTGATCAATTGATCTGCTGCCAATCATGATTTGTGACAAATTTCCTTTGTTTTCTAGATTCTATAATTAGACACGTGGCCATGAGTCTTTTG